AATATGTAATTTTGATTCAATACTTATTATACTAGTATAGTAATTCCTACTTAATAGGATTCAAACATCAACCATATAAAATAAAACAATAATCACACAGGTAAGTAAAAAATTTTCTGTATTGAAAATGTAGTCGAGATAGTAATGAAACTTGAAAAAAGGATAATCCCTTTCTCTGCCTAGAGCTAAGCTCCTAATAGAGCAACCATGAGGTTCTCTATCCAAATCAATCGAAAATCTCTTTCCGCTCTATCCCCTCCCAAAACATTATTTACATAACAGAAAATATTCTTCCTTTCTCCTCTAACAACCTCAGAAACCTTTTATGCCACATCAACATTCTTTTTCTTCTTACGTTCATACACAATCCATTTCTTTGGGCCTCCTTTGTTCTCATGGGCCAGTGGTTCATTTTCCTGTTTACCTTGGGCCTTATCAATATTTCCCCTTCAAATTCAGTCTTGTCCTCAAGACTGAGTTCTGGGAATTGACTCTTCAAAGTCAGTTAATCTTCCCATGAAGCCTCCTCTACTAATTTCCCCTTCCATTTCACCAACCACTGATTTGTCCTCTCCCCTCCTTTAATCAAGATACAAGATGCCAACACTAATTGAGGTTCCATTACTTCCACTCTGTCATCCTCAAGCCCTGTAGGAATAGAAGTTTCGGTTTTATAATTCCCTATTGCCTTCTTCAGCAAAGATACATGAAACACAGGGTGAATTCTTGCTTCTGGAGGTAATTTCAACTTATAAGCTACTGCCCCAATCTTCTCTACCACTTCGAAAGTCCCATAATATCTAGCACTTAACTTCAGAATAATTCTTGCTGCCACTGAATGTTGTCTGTGATGTTTGAGCTTCAAAAATACCGTTTCACCTACTTCAAAACTCCTATCTTGTCGATGTTTATCTACCTGCCCCTTCATGCGTTCTTGAGCTCTAATCAAATGCTTCTTGAGTTGTCTAAGGGCTTCATCACGATCATTTATTTCCCTCTGCACAGACTCAACCCTGATTTCTCCTTGAACCCCTCTTATCAATGGCAATGGTGGTCTGCCATATACCACCTCAAATGGGGTGGTTCCAATTGACATATGGTAAGTAGTATTAAACCAGTACTCAACCCAAGGAAGCCACAAAGCCCATCCTTTAGGTTGATCAGTAATGAAACATCTTAGATATGTCTCTAAACAACGATTTATCATTTCGGATTGTCCATCCGTTTGTGGATGATACATTGTACTCATAAGAAGCCTTGTCCCCTGCATTTTAAAAAATTCTTTCCAAAAAAGACTCATGAACAAAGGATCTCTGTCACTAAGCACTGAATTAGGCATCCCATGAAGTCTCACAACTTCTTTAACAAACACCTCTGCTATGGTTCTTGCTGTATAAGGATGTTTCAAGGCAATGAAATGACTATATTTTGTCAAACGATCCACTACAACTAATATGGCCTTAAAACCTTTCGATCTTGGTAACCCTGTGATAAAATCAAGAGAAATATCTTCCCACACCTTCTGTGGTATTGGCAGTGATTTTAACAAACCTCCCGGGGCGGTAGTGACATATTTTTTACGCTGACATGTGTCACAAGATTAGACATACTTCATTATCTTATTTTTCATACCCGGCCAATATATATTTGCTACAATTCTCCTGTACGTTCTCAGAAATCCAGAGTGTCCTCCTTGTGGTGTAGAGTGGAATTCTTCGATTAATCTATCCATCCACTTAGAATTTGGAGACACCATTATTATGTCTTTATAAAACAGAATTCCCCGTTGATAAGTGAAACCCGGACGGTTCTTACTCCCCTGCTCCAAGTCTTCAATGATTTTCTTCATTTTCTCATCTCTGTGAACCTCATCAATTACTGTTTGGCTATCTATCTAAATCGGTATAGACATCATATTTTTCAATTCCCCCTCTTCAAATTTTTTGGACAGTGCATCAGCTCCCTTGTTTTCCAATCCCGGTTTATATACAATTTCAAAATTATAGCCAAGTAATTTGGTCACCCAGTTTTGTTGACTTCCGTTAGTGATTCGCTGCTGCAACAACTGTTTAAGACTCCTTTGATATGAATAAACCTTGAATTTATGCCTCAATAAATACGGCCTCCAGTGCTGAATTGATAGAGCTACAACCATAAGCTTTTTTTCATACGCAGATTTTGTCAAGTTTCTACTTCCCAGAGCCTTGCTAAAATAAGCCACAGGCTTACATTCTTGCATTAATATGACCCCAATGCCCAACCCAGATGCATCACATTCAAGCTCAAACTCCTTCTCAAAATTTGGTAGGGCTAAAACTGGAGTTGTAGTGATCATCTTCTTCAATTCCTCGAATGCTTGCTGCGCTTTCTCATTCCACTTAAAACCTTCTTTCTTGGTCAATTCATTTAGAGATTTAGCTATTTTTCCATAATTTCGAATGAACTTACGATAGTAACCTGTAAGTCCCAGGAATCCCCTTACTCCTTTTACAGTTTTTGGGATTGACCACTCCATTACACTTTTGACCTTGGCTGGATCAACTTCCACTCCTTTCCATGAAATCACATGTCCCGGATATTCAACACTTTCCTAGGCAAAATTTCATTTCTCCTTGTTGGCATATAACTTTTGATGCCTCGTAACTTCCAGAACCATTTTTAATTGAACCAAGTGCTCTTTCCATTCAGAGTTATACACCAATATATCATCAAAAAATACTAAAACTCCCCTTTGAAGTCGATCATGAAATACCTCATTCATCAATCCTTGAAATGTTTTTGGAGCGTTCATGAGCCTAAAAGGCATTACGAGGTACTCGTAATGTCCCTCGTGATTTCTAAAAGTTGTCTTCTCAATGTCTTCCTCCCTCATCCTGACTTGATGGTACCCTAATTTAAGATCCAACTTTGAAAAGTATTTAGAACCATGTAATTCATCTAACAATTCTTCAATTACAAGGATAGGAAATTTATCTGAAATTGTAGCCTTGTTAAGAGCACGGTAGTCCACACACATTCTCCACTTGTTATTTTTCTTCTTGACAAGGACTACAGGACTTGAATAGGCATTGTGACTGTGATGTATATGCCCATTCTCCATCAACTCCTTAACTTGTTTTTCTATTTCATTTTTCTGGTGATAAGGATAACGATATGGCCTCACATTAATTGGCTCTTGATTTGGCTTTAGTAAGATTTTATGCTCTCTCAAACGAACTGGTGGTAACCCTTTTTGTTCAGTAAAGACGTCAATAAATTTTTCAAGTAATTCCTCCAATTCCCCTTGTTGTTGATTCGTGATTTTTATTTTTGGAATATCCTGTGAGTCTCCCACTAACTCCTTGATTTGGCTGCTACAGACTCTTCACTCTTCACCCCTTTTAACAGTTTTGTCCCTTGACTAGTGGTAATCCTCATCGTTTGCTTTCCCTAATCAATCAACATTTCCCCCAAAGATGCTAGCCAACACATTCCCAGAATCATATCAATGTCCTTTAAGTCAAAGAGTACAACATCAATATTGAATGTCTCACCATTAACCTCAACTTCAATTCCGCGACAGATTCCTTGTGTTTCAGCTTTATGACCGTCACCCATCAAAATTTGCATCTTCTTTGTAGGATCCCAATTCCATTCCATAGCTTCGACCAAACGTTTGGAAATGAAATTATGTGTGGCTCCACTGTCGACGAGCAGGGAAAGGGAGATGCCCTGAACTTTGCCTTCCAATTTCAAAGTTCGGGGAGGATTCTGCTTTTCTATATTCAAATCAAATAAGCCAATAACACTACATTCTCCTTCATCATCGTTATCACCATTCTCATCACTTATATGTTCTTCCTCATCGCACTCCACCTGTAATTCATTGTTCAACATAATCACCCTTAGTTGTTTTACTGGGCATTGATGCAAGGGCCCATACGTTCCTCCACACTTAAAACAAATACCCTTTTTCCTTCGGTCCACTAATTCTTGATAAGCCAGATGTTTAGCTCCTCTATCCCGAGGCCCACCTCTATTTTCTCCTGCCTCCCCTTTCATATTTGGGTTAGGCCCATTCACTTTACTGCTTGCTCCATACATTTTCGGAGCTACCCAACCCAAAATTGTGGAATAATTTCTGGATCCAAATTGACCCGTTCCTATAACATGTGTCTCACTCCTATTCTGCCATCCTCTGTTTCGCATATAAATTTCAGAGTCCACCGCTCTGGCTGCATTCATCAATCTTCCCTTTGTCAACGGGTTCACCACGTGTAAGCTTCTCAGTCACGCCCTTGTTTCCTCACGCAAACCATGATTGAAATAAGAAAAATATTGTTCATCTTGAAATCGAGGTACTTGGGCCACCAATCGCTCAAACGTTGCGATGTATTCTTCAATGCTCCCATTCTATTTCAATGATGTCAATTGATCGAACACACTTCCTTCGCCCATTCCTCCATATCTTTCCAGTAACTCCCTCTTTAAATCCTCCCACGTTAGCTCATCATAATCGTTCAACAAGACGTTGAAAAAGTGTATCGTTCCTCCCTCCATGCACAAATTTGCCAAATTGACACGCACCATTTCACTAGTCTGTTGAACCTGGAAATATATCTCTACCCTGGATATCCATCCTGAAGGATCCTCGCCATTAAATGAGGGAAGCTCAATCTTCTTCACAGATTGACGAAATTCTTCTAGGGCTTCCCCTTCGAGTGTGTTCATACCCGAGGTCACTCCAAAATGTTTTTTCCTATTTGATACACTTTTCTTCTTCACTGAACCTTCATCTTCCCCCTCTGGATCTTTTCCAGAATTTCGAGTCAAAAGCTGGACGAGTATCGAGTGGTTCTCTTGAACTTCGTGTTTCATCGCTTCTTGAAAATTCTCCATCGTTATCCTCATTCGAGCAATCTCGTTTTCCACAGAGCTAACACATGCTTCCATGTTTTCCTCATCCGCTGATCTTTCTGGCTTAGATTGATTTCCCTTCTTCGGTGGCATTCAAAATTCCGATGAAGTATCCGGCAGGTCGGACCAATTAATAGGATTCAAACATCAACCACATAAAATAAAGCAATAATCACATAGGTAAATGTTAAGGTTCCAACATAAAACCAATTGGCAATATGTGGAGTAGCCTAACATGTATTTAAACCATACCAAATGATATGAGGTAGGCGATGTGTGACTTTCAACACACCCCCTCCAACAAAGCCTGTCGGACCAGGCAAATGGTACTTTTGACCCAACTAAAGGGCAACTTTTTGGCCCATGACAATAACCAGAAAGATGTTAGGCTTTGGTTCTGATACCATGTTAAGGTTCCAACATAAAACCAATTGGCAATATGTGGAGTAGCCTAACATGTATTTAAACCATACCAAATGATATGAGGTAGACGATGTGAGACTTTCAACACACCCCCTCCAACGAAGCCTGCCGGACCAGGCAAAGGGTACTTTTGACCAAACTAAAGGGCAACTTTTGGCCCATGACAATAACCAGAAAGATGTTAGGCTTTGGTTCTGATACCATGTTAAGGTTCCAACATAAAACCAATTGGCAATATGTGGAGTAGCCTAACATGTATTTAAACCATACCAAATGATATGAGGTAGGCGATGTGGGACTTTCAACACACCCCCTCCAACGAAGCCTGCCGGACCAGACAAAGGGTACTTTTGACCCAATTAAAGGACAACTTTTTGGCCCATGACAATAACCGGAAAGATGTTAGGCTTTGACTCTGATACCATGTTAGGGTTCCAACATAAAGCCAATTGGTTTTATGTTGGAACCTTAACATGGTATCAGAGCCATTCGCAGTTTCACAATCTGAATTAGTTCATACTTACACATACTTACTCCGGTCCTGTTTCGAACTCCGGTCCTGTAAACAAGCTGTCATTCCTGAAGGAATCAGCAAACATGTGCACAGGAGCAGATATTTTATTGCTGGGGGAATAGCAGGAGCTACTTCTCGTACATCAACTGCTCCTCTTGATCGTCTAAAGGTAGTCTTACAAGTTCAGACTGGACGAGCTCCTATTATGCCGGCAGTGATGAAGATATGGCAACGAGATGGTTTATTAGGGTTTTTCCGTGGTAATGGATTGAATGTTGTCAAGGTAGCTCCAGAGAGTGCCATCAAGTTTTATGCTTATGAAGTGCTGAAAAATGTAATTGGAGATGCTCAACAGGGCAAGTCAGATATCGGTACTGCAGGAAGACTTTTTGCAGGTGGCATGGCTGGTGCAGTTGCGCAGATTGCTATCTACCCAATGGATCTTGTCAAAACTAGGTTACAGACTTGTGCTCCTGATGGTGGAAGGGTTCCTAAACTTGGTACACTTACAAAGGATATATGGGTCCATGAGGGACCTCGGGCTTTCTATAGAGGGCTTGTTCCATCCCTTCTGGGTATGATTCCTTATGCAGGGATTGATCTTACTGCATATGACACCTTGGAAAAACTTTCCTCAACAATTGCAATTTCAGTTGGTGGTTTACGACTTTTGAGTTTCGAGATTTTGACCCTTCCAACCCCACTTAACCGCTATGCAGATCTAAGTCCAAAGTTAGCATCTTTCCGTCCTTAAAATTCCAAATGCTCCATTGGGTATCTCCGATTTTTTGAGGTTTTGAGATTCTGGGCGAAACAGCATGTCCGGGGCAGGCGAAGCCATAGACATGGACAAGGTGGGGTTTCCAAAAGCGAAAGCCGATCGTGGCCGTGGCAAAAAAATGGGTCCGGTTTCCATGGATCACGTGCTTCTTGCCTTGAGTGAGACCAAAGATGAGAGGGATCTTCGAATTCGGAGTCTCTTCAATTTCTTCGATGCTGCCAATAATGGGTACTTGGACTATGCTCACATTGAGGCTGGTTTGTCTACACTGCAGATTCCCCCTCAGTATAAGTATGCCAAAGAGCTTTTCAAGGTTTGTGATGCTGATAGGGATGATAGGATTGATTACCATGATTTCAGGCGTTACATGGATGACAAGGAGTTGAAACAACTCGCACACTTTTAATTCATGGATGTTGCCGCCGTCCGTTCTGACATCCAGGGACATCTCGAACGTTTATGCGAGCGGTCGCGAAAAGATGGTTTAGACTCGCGTTTTATGTTAAAATTATGTTCATTGCTTCCGAGGTGCTCAACAACTGAACTATCCTCTAATAAAAGCAAGGTTTACGAAAAGGGTTCTTTTGGAGTCGCCACCAATGTTTTGACCATAAACATTGGAAAAGGATAAAAAGACGTTGATTTTATTAAAAACCAAACTTGGCCATTATAACCAGAGTTAGGTAAGGGAGTTAGTTACGTGTGGGGAAGGTGTTAGCACCCCACAACGCCCCTTTCGGGTTCCCTATGACAGATTAATTCATTTAAGTAAAGATTATGAGAAATTACGCGATTACCCTATTTTATTGCATAATGTTAAAAATGGCTATCTATATGACTTTATTTTACATTGCATATAGAAAGCAATAAATAAAGCAGTAAAAGAGAAGAGAATTGAACAGAACCTCCATAACAAGCTTTATATTGCAAATCTTTGATCGCAAGGATGCGTTTTGGCAATCCTTCACTCTACAAAGACTCTCCTCTCCAAATACAAGATCAACTCGACTCGATTTTACAGAAGAATCGAATGCTGGAATATGATTCCTTAAGTGATTGTTACCTTATTAAGGCAATCAGAGAGTTCATTCGAAGAGGGAAGAGGATAGACAAGTACTAGGAGTTGTCTGGTGTGTGAAACAGTGGCAAATGAGCCTCCTATTTATAGTTTTTGCTGCCTGCACATTTGGGATGGCCGTCTGGGTTGGGACGGTCGTCCCAACTGCAACTTTTACATAGACTGAGACCCCCTGAAAGGCTGGGACTGGCAGTCCGATTTGGGACGGTCGTCCCACTTGGCCAGGGAAGGTTGGGACGGCCGTCTCGACCTTGGGACGGCCATCTCGACCTGTTTTGGCCAGCTTTTATGTTCTGGGACCCCTGAGAAGTTTTCCTTTCTTTATTCGGACGTCGGTTGATGCCTATAGACGCCCGTTGAAGCTTTATCTTCATATAGGAAGTCTTTCTGGCCTTTATTGAGATGCCAGGCGAGCTCTATCTTGTTTGTAGGAAGTCTCTTTAGCCTTTATTGAGAGACCGGGCAAAATTAGGGGTCTACAGCTGCCCCCCCTTCACCTGCCCAGCTAATTTGTTGGCTTAACATGCTGACAAAATTAGTTGGTAGGGGAAGGAGTTAACCCTTTTGCCCGGTTATCCTTCAGATGTTTCTTTGTTGATCCTCCGGATGATAAATATTTTTGATAGGTACCAACCCCTATCAGGTTTGAGTCTTATTTTATAAGGCTCTGGTGAGTACTTACCCTCATCCGGTACGAGTCTGTGTTTCACTAGACTCTTGTGGGTACCTACCCCCACTAGGTATAAACCTTGTTTTGCAAGGCTTTGGTGAGTACCTACCCTCACCCGGTATGAGTTCGCATTTTGCTAAACTCTTGTGGGTATTTACTTCCGAGGTGCTCAACACTGAACTATCCTCTAATAGAAGTAAGGTCTTTGCAACCCATTTTTGTAATGCTTAGGTGAGTATTTTACTCCACCTAATGCATCCTGCTAAGTTTTGATGAGTACCTACCCTCATCCGGTACAAGCCTTATTTTATAAGGCTTTGGTGGGTACCTACCCCCACCTGGTACGAATTTGCATTTTGCTAGATTCTGATGAGTACCTACCCTCATCCGGTATAAACCTTATTTTATAAGGCTTTGGTGGGTACCTACCCCCACCTGGTACGAATCTGCATTTTTTTTGCTAGATTCTGATGAGTACTTACCCTCATCCGGTATAAACCTTATTTTATTAGGCTTTGGTGGGTACCTACCCCCACCTGGTACGAATCTGCATTTTTTGCTAGATTCTGATGAGTACCTACCCTCATTCGGTATAAATCTTATTTTATAAGGCTCTGGTGGGTACATACTCCCACCTGGTACGAATCTGTATTTTTGCTAGATTCTGATGAGTACCTAGCCTCATCCGGTATAAACCTTATTTTATAAGGCTTTGGTGGGTACCTACCCCCACCTGGTCCGAACCCCGTTCTGCAAGGCTCTGATGGGTACCTACCCCCACCTGGTCCGAACCCCGTTCTGCAAGGCTATGATGGGTACCTACCCCCACCTGGTCCAAACCCCGTTCTGCAAGGCTCTAATGGGTACCTACCCCCACCTGGTCCGAACCCTATTCTGCAAGGCTCTGATGGGTACCTACCCCACCTGGTCCGAACCCCATTCTGCAAAGCTCTGATGGGTACCTACCCCCACCTGGTCCGAACCCCGTTCTGCAAGGCTCTTATGGGTACCTACCCCCACCTGGTCTGAACCCCGTTCTGCAAGGTTCTTAGGATGTACTTCTTGATAGTCAATCCTATGGTCTTCTGGTTGTGAAGATGTGTTGGCAGCTTACTGTTTTTGATCATGCGCCCATTCCGTGGGGAATACTTGATTTGACTTTTCTGTTAGTCATCCGGTTTTACCGGGGATTCTTTGTTTTTGGCTTTTTCGTTTAGCCATCAGGTCTTTGCTGGGGATTTCTGATTTTTGGCTTTTCTGTTTAGCCATCCGGTTTTTTTTGCCGGGGATTTCTTTGTTTTTGGCTTTTCTTGTTTAGCCATTCGGCCTTTGCCGTGGATTCTTTGTTTTTGGTTTTTCTTTTTAGCCATCCGGTTTTACCAGGGATTTCTTGTTTTTGGCTTTTCTTGTTTAGCCATCCGGCTTTGCCGGGGATTCTTTGCTGGTTGCCTCTTATTTAGGCAGATGCTTCAACAGTGGCGAAGGCTTTGTTGTTTTTTCGCCTCTGAATAGGCTGCTGTTCTACTTGAGGATATTTGTTCTTGATAATACCTCTGAGTAGGTGGATGCTTTTTGAAAGCTTTGTGCTTGCATTGCCTCTTGCATAGGTTGATTTCCCGTTTCTTGGGGATATCGGCTCTTTGCTTGCCTCTGAGTAGGCATAGGCATTCTTGGGAGTAAAGGTTTTTCCTTTCATTCAGGATATTCATATTGGGTGTTATAGGCGATTAACTCCCTGAGGATATGAATTTTGTATTTTACCTTTTGCTGGTAGGCTTGCTGGGGATTTTCTTTTTGGTGATCCACCAGGGATTTGGTTGTTTCCTGGGGATCTATTTTGAATTGCCCCCTAGGGAGGGATGGAGTTTTTTGACTCTTTATTGGACACTGTTGTTTGAGCTGGCTTTGCCTATGCTCTTATTCTTGCGGGGAATGAGTTTTTATCTTTTTCTCGCGATTTGAATTTCTTTTCCGCGAATTGGTTTTTACATATGTGCGCCTTTTATGTACATTGGCTTTTTCTTTGGATGAAAAGATATATTTCTTTTCTTTTCTTTTTGGTGATCCCTGGGGAATTTTTCTTTTCTTGGGGGATCTAATCCTTGATTTAATTTTTTATGATGGAGTCTTGGCTCCGACTTTTGTGAGGCTCTTTATTGAGCGGAATGAAGAGTTTTTCTTCTTTTTCTTTTTTGGGATTCACCGAGGAGTCTGTCGGTTTCCTGGGGATCCAAATTTGATGATGGAGTCTTGGCTCCTGGCTTTATGAAGCTTTTATTTGAGCTGGAAGATGGAAATTTTTGTTTTCCTCTTTTTGTAGATTTTCTAGATATACTCTTCTTGGATATTTTTTTATTTGGCCTTTTCCGTTGTGGCCTCTATTGGGGAATGAAAGTTCTTCTTTTCTTTCTTTTTGTTGCCCCCTGGTGATATGGAGGATTTGTCTCCGTATTTTCTTTGATGGACTCTTGTGTAGTCCTTATTCTCCTTTGGGGAAGTGGCGGAGATTCTGAATGAGTGTGCTCGATGACTCATGTGGTGATGAAGCTGAGTTGTGAGGTAGTCTTTTTGTCTTGCCTCTGGAGTAGGCAAGGATCCGCTTGGGGATGATCAAGCCTTTCTGTTGGCTTTTCTATGTTGATGGCTTCCTTCTTTTATTGGTGGAAGGATGTTGATTGAGGCTTCAAATGACTGTGGTTGATGACTCATGTGATGATGATGCTGAGTCGTGGAGTAATTTTTGTTTTGCCTCTGGAGTAGGCAAGGATCCACTTGGGGATCATCAATCCTTTCCGTTGGCCTTTTTCTTCGATGTACCTTCTTTTATTGGTGTAGAAGGTTAGAGCTAGTTTCCTTGAAGCTCTTTATTCTACTGAAATGGTTTTGATTTCGCCTTTCGCGATTTTGATTTTCATTTAGAGGCTGGATTTTGGCGCCTTCTATTTTCAATCATAAGCATGGAGACTATCCTCCTTACATGCATGTTTATTATTCTTGTTTGAAGAAAATGATTTTTCTTGATTTTGACAAAGTCGTATTATGCAACTATTTTGTGTGTGGATGTCCTAAATGCAATCTATTTGTTTATTTATTTTTTGATGCATTTAGAAAGTAACTGGCCTTCTCCCGTTAGCTTCTTATGAATACGCCAATAGGCTCCTCCTTTATGACCATGATGGTGGGCTCCTCTTTCATGATTATGGGCTCTTCTTTTGTTCATCTTTTAGTCTTAGCCCTATCTTTTGCCTAGACCGCCCTTTGTGGGTTTTCGATCTAGCGGGCTGCCTTAATTTTTGCCTAGAATATCTTAGGGGGCTGTTGCCTTATCTTCTGCTCAGATCGTTCTTTTGGGGTTTTCGATCTAGCAGGCTACCCTAGTTTTTACCTAAGAATATCCTAGCAGGCATTTATTATTTTCTTATTTGTTATGCTTCCCTTTTTTTTTTTAGATGCATGTTTGATCTTTGATTAAAGGTCTTTGCGCATATTTATGATTTATCAATAAAGAGGCATTTTCATAATATTTGGTCAAGAGAAAGGAAATGAAAAGGAATTTTATTGATAAATGAGCAAAAGTTTTATTTCTTTTATAGAAGGATTTCAAAAGGTATTTAGAAGAATGAGTGGTCAGGGTTGGCTATACTGTTTAGGCTTATAC